CAGCGATCGATTTATCAAAGTGTCATGCCGAGGCGCTGCAGCCCCGTAGCAGCAAAACAACAGCGGAGGCAAAACAAACATTGGTTGACTCTAGAGGTGGTCTCTGCAGTCGTGCTAAACAAGGTCAAAGCTCTCTCTCCTTTTTTACTTCACTCCACCAATATTTTGGGAAAACACTAAACAGATGCAAAGAGCCCTAGTATAAGACCAAGATTCTGGGATCTCAGAAAGAGTTTAAATGTGTGCCTCTGTCAGAAATAACTGTAAACACACATGACGTTGTGACTGTGTGAGACTCTTTTGTAAAAAATCAATAAAGCGTTATGGATGAAATACTACTGTATGGAGCTTTTTAGAGATTTATGCAGCACTGTATTAATGCAGGTCAACTCAATTCACTTGTTACTTTCATAATGCATTTGTAAATCTAAGCTTAAGGCAAAGAAAATAACTGCTGCTGTGAATGTGGGGGTTACCCTTCATTAAGAGGTTACATAATGCATTTCCTTCTTCCTTTCAGCTCGATACATTCAAATGGACACTTGAACTTTATTCAAATCACTTAAAATGTGAGAAACCTGGAGATGGATTCATGAAGAGCTTCTTAAGGAAAAAATAAGACCTATGATCAATTTTATGAACTTTGTAAGAATGTCCCTTAACAAAATCTGTTTTTTTTTTCTAAAAATTATCAAATATTCCCTTATTTGGGAATCTGAAATTAAGTAGAATTTGATCTTTAAATAGTTAAATTAAGAACATATGTGTAGGCCTATATGTTTGAAAATTATAACTTCAATGTGTTAAATTCTCAATCATATATATGGTTTAGAATTGAAAACATTGAAGTTATAAACTGTGTTTTTAAATCATTAAATAGTCTATAATAGTGCTGTCAAACAGTTTTTGTTTACATAATATATGTGTGTGTACTGTGTATATTCATTATGTATATATAAATACACACACATGCACGTATATGTTTAAGAAAAATATATTATATTTGTATATTAAATACATTTATATATAATATAAATTATATAAATATAAATATATACATGCAAATATTTTCAAAATATATACTGTATGTGTATATTTATGTATACATAATAAATATACACAGTACACACACATATATTATACACAAAAACTTTTATTTTGGATGCGATTAATTGTGATTAATCGTTTGACAGCACTAGTCTATAGGCCTATGTATCTGGAAGTGTGGGGGGAAAAGTTATAATGTGGTCAATTATACTTCCACCTTCATTAGATCAAGCATAGCCAATGCCTTTGTTCTGGACTTGAGACACTGTGTGTTATGAATGCAGAACACATTGCTGATTGCTCACAATTCTACCCCATCCTTCATCCAACACTCTTCTCTTACTTCCAGCCAGGCCAGTATTTGCATTTGTGAGCAGAAGAGTCAACTAATGTGTTGTTTATGTACCTTAATAAATGATGAAACTGTCTTTTTACATTAGAATATTACATCCAACATTTATGGACAAGCACATTTTAGCCTACCGGACAAAATATTTTTACAGTAGGCTACATAAATTTTCTTTCATTTTGAATAATCACTCAAATTATTAGATTATTAGACTGCACAGATTATTAGGATAGACAAGTGACTCTCTTTATGAGGGAGTCACTGAATTTAGTTCTTTCTGAACCACTGATTCATTCTGCAAATGAATCATGTGTCGTTGTGAGTGAGCAAGTGAATCTCTCAACCGATTCGTCTAAAAATGATTAATTTAGCCACGGAACAAATGAATGCTTTTTTGAAACATTCATTCTAGCGATTCGCTCAAAAACGCCAATTCACAAATCGAGTGAGTCATTGAATCATTCATTCAAACGTTTTGTTAATTCACAAACGAAACACCTGCCATGTGTTTGTTGGAGACTCCACGCCCACGGTGAGTTAGCTTGGAACTATTTTGGAGCAGAACAGAAGCAAAGTAACTTTAAATATTGTGTCTGAGATGTAGTTATTAATATCAAATTGTAGTTTATTGAACTGTTGGTTAGCAATCGTGCTGTTGAGAGTTAGCAGTCTCTGTGTTGACACCCGTGGATAAAATTAGCCTCTTACTCTGTGTTGTGAGTCTACATTGTGTTTGTGACGTGACCCATTTTACATAAAACATTAAATAATCTATCGACTTTTGTTCCGTGATAAGTGTTTGTAATGAAGAAAGCATGAACCTATATTGATCAGGATGTTCTGTGCTAATCCGAGTAACGTTACTCGGTCTTCACAATAGATGCAGGGATAAAATGCTGTTTTGTGTTGACAGCTATAATAAGTTACTGTCTCATTTTAAACTCCCATTCATGTTAGCTTTAGTTCATTTAAGACGAATAACTTGAATGTAGAATGTCCACATTTTGTTCTTGTTTCTTGTTGGACAGAGAGTCTTATTTTAGGTTGAATGAATCTCTTCATTTTTTGCCAGCATTCCTCTCAGTGGTCTGAAATGACCTGGGTTTCATTCTTAATATTGTAGTGCTTCACAGAGAAGACTTGCGGCCGTAAAACCCCACAGAGCCATAAAGGCGTCTGTATCCAGAGGTCAAGTGTTTTTCACAATGGTTCATGCTGGGCCAACCTCACATGAACATTCCCCTGGGATAGAGTGCAAAAATGATGGATTGTTTCCTGCCATTGCACATTCCAGCTTTCAGAAATAAGTTCACATTTCCAAGTTTTATGCTAATCTGGTATGGTTAGAATATGAGACAAGCAAACAGGCTTGAAATGAATCTTAAAGAGCCACACACATCTTAGCTCTCAAATGAATCCCAGCTCTCGGTGCTTAGCATCTTATTTTGTGACACTTTCTAGCCTAAATAATTTGTGTCAAGAAGGCATTTATCACAGACACCATGCCTTTTAAACACAGAGAGAGAGACGTCCTCCAAATCCTAAGAAGTCTGTTCCATTATCATTTGAAAAACTGCACTGAATATGGCCATTGGCCAAAGGCGGATTATCTGAATAGCACTCAACTTTTATCCAGCTGTTAGAGAAATTTTTATAAAAAAAAAAAAAAGCACCTTAGGTTTTTCCTTTCTCAGATACATTTTCACTTAATAATTAAAATTCTATGCTAGTAGGCAAAACTTTCGCCTTAAGAAATCCAAATCCCAGTTGTGTTTAGGAGTTAGGAAACTTTCACAGGTTGTGCATACTGAATAATATATATATTTTTCTTGCATAATGACACTCCATCTTTGCATTACATGCTTTATATGACTTTATGACACATTGTGTTTGCGTTTGGTAAATGCTTTGAATATTTGTGCATATGGGACATGCTGTTTGAGCTTGGTTTTTCATTAAGTGTAATCTCGGCATAATCTCCACTCAAATGTGTTAGACAAACTTGTGCTGTATAGACATGCTGGGTTCTCATTTGTTTGCTGGTGTGTTGGGATTGTTTTTATGGAATGTGGGCTTTAGTGATAACGGATGTCCTCTAATTAGGCATTTCTAATGCTGTTTTAATCACCTAACCCCACATAAATTCCAATGCATTTAAGAATCAAATAAATGGATAAAAATGTAGGATTATGTATCCATTTGCATTGTTTTGGTTTCTGGTTTTGTATGCATGTTTATTTCCTTTGCAAGTAAGTTTGTCTAATAATTCATGCTTTATTTTTTATGTTTATTTAGTTTTAATTTTATTTTTAAATTCATAAAAATATATTTATACAAATTAGCTTCACAGAGGGAGGGCTCGGTAGTAATTTAGCAGATAATGAAATTAGCCACAGGCAGCAATTTTTTCTTTTTTTGTCAGTGCAAACAAGTTTGTTTAATTCTTGCCTGAAATTTGTATTTTTTCTTATTCATTCAATTTAATTGCATGCAGTTGTTGTTTCAAACTTACATTTAACTTACTTTAGCAGTTTTATATTAAGATCGGAATTTAAAATGTGTTGCAAAATTGTACTCGGAACTTTTCTTTTGAACATTGATTTAAGACTCACATTAAAAAGATGAACTGCAGGGAGTATTTGGGCCATGTTGTCAGGTCCTGTGTGACTATAGCAGATATGTAAGTTTCCCGGAGTGGGTAGCATAAAAAAAAAAAAGAGCAAAAATCTGAAAACATTAATGATTATTAAAGCAAGAAGGGACTATTAATTAAAAGTGGGGTTGCGGACCTGTCCAGAACTAGTAATTTAGGCCAGGCTTTTCACTGATGGATGGAACCACACACAGTTATTAAAATTTCAGATTGAGTGCAATATTTTATAAGAGGTCGTTGACAAGTATGCAAAAGAGAAATGCAATTAATGCTGAGGAATGCAGTCTGAGCTGCAGGCGATATGGAGTTATTAAAATTAGTTAAATTAATAACCATGGGTGGTATCATTCCTTCTTTTTCCTGTTGCCTTTGCGGAGTTGCCGTGGAAACATCTTTTTGACCACTGATAAAGCTGTGGCAATAGCAAGGGCAGCTGACAGTATTCATGTGCTGGACCATATGTTAATTTAATTGCCTCTTGAAATTGAATATTACTGGTCTATATCTTTGCATGAGTAAAAATAGATAAATATTACAGTCGTTTTAGCTTGTCTTATTTATATGCACCTTGAGTACACACTTACATAATTACATGGACATTACAAGGATTTTAATGTGGAAGCATTTTATTGTACTTACAAATGATTTAATGCCCTGTCAGATGAAACAACACATTAATGAATGTAAATTAATCCTTTAAAGGCACAGACCGAACTGGCAAATGAACATATTCATCACGTCAGAAGGTTGTAAATCATAAAGCATTGTTTGCAAATGTTCTACACCTACGTACTGATAAGGAATAAATAAATTAAATTAACATTTTGGTTCCAAGATCTTTTAGATCGATAATAGCGTTTAGATTTTGCCTGGATTTCTTATTTGAATGCATTTAAATGTTTTTCCATCCACTTTGTTTAATACTTTCTTCTCTTTTTCTCCTTTTTACAGCTCAAAACTGCAGTCACACACTACACAGTCCAAATGGGACAATAGAAAGCCCCGGATACCCGTATGGATATCCCAACTACGCCAACTGCACATGGGTGATTGTGGCACAGGAACACAACCGGATACAGTTGGTATTTCAAGGCTTTGCCTTAGAGGAGGACTTTGACATCCTTTCAGTCTACGACGGGCAACCCAGTCCAACAAACTTACGGACACGGTAAATACAGAACGTTTTTATCATATTGTGTGTGTAAAAGCCAGAACCAATCTCTTGGAATTGCTAGCCGACATTACTTTGCTAACAGTTTGAACTGTGTGAACTCTGTGCGTGAACTTTGGATTTACTTAAGTGTCCCAAAACTTGTTTAAAGCACACTGAGAGGAATGAAAATTTCATTTTAGGTCTGTATTTAATGTTTTGAACATTGAAGTCCACAAATTGATTTAGCTCTTTTGATTTTATCGCTGTCTTGAGTCTGAATTTCTCCCTTGTATACTCTGAAAATAAGAAGAAAATAAAAGGATTTAGGCTCAAGGGATTGAGCGGAGCAGATATCCTCAGGGGGAGTGTCCTTGGGGCCTTGGCCTGTTTTCCATTCGAAAGCTAGCATTTTGAAAAGCTTGCCTACATTCATAGATCACTTCTCAGATAGCATTTTACCCAATGAAATGAGTTCTATAGAAAACATTGCGGAACTCAGTAAATTTGATGCTTTTTCCCACCCTTTTTATGTCACCTTTCTTGATTTATTAATATCTGTGTGGGAAACAAAGTGCACAAGGACACTTTCAAGACACTTTTTTTTTAAATGTATGCTTAAAGATTCAAGGACAGCTTCATGCACAGCCCCAGGTTTCCATGGTGTTCTATGAATGTTAACCTTGTTCGGCATGGGCGGTTTACCCTGCCAGTGTATTATTAGTGTCAGCTGAAGTCAACGTCTTGAAGAAATCAAACGGATATTCAGACTATTCCAATAGGATGTTGTTTTATGATACAGATTATATGTAAGAAAGTCAGTGTTGCTGTGCTAGTCATAACGTCACACAAAAAGTCAGTGAAGTGCTTCTAAAAATCTGTTTTGCATTGGAATGTTTTAGTGTTAGTGAAAATTATTATAAAGTGATACACTTCCATTCAAAAGTAATAATTTTTTTCAGCATTAAGTTGATCAGAAGTCACAAAGACATTAACAAATTTAAATGAGGTTTCTATTACAAATAATTGTGGTTCTAAACTTTCTATTCATCAAATAATCCTGAAAATAATCAAATAATAAACTGCAAATGTTTTCAAAATAATGGATCTTGCACACCAAATCAGCAGTGGTGTATAAAGTACCTGAAAGCCATACTCAAGTAAAAGTACAGATATCTTACCAGAAAATTACTTTGGTAGAAGTTGAAGTCACCGTTTATAATATTACTTGAGTAAAAGTCTTAAAGTATGTGATTGATCTTTGTTTGGAACTATTTTCGTTGGCAAAATTGAGAAAAAACAAGCAATATTATGTCTAAAATGTAAGTCCCTTATTGCTAACTTTACTGAACTTGTATAAAATGATTATTAAATGTGTTATCATGCTGATATCTGCAGAAAAATGGTACTCCTTGTGTGATATAGATTAAGTTAGCTATATTTAATTATATAAATATAAAAAGCAAACAGAATCATTTTTGCCGTCTACAAATTAGAATGCCGTGAATTTTGAGTTTTAATAGACTAATAAATCACATGAATGCACTCTGTGTGTGTGATTTGGTGATGTAGCAAATTAGCTCAAAAGGGAAATGTATATAAATAATTACAGTTAATGGTGTTGATGCAAAAACTACTAAAGATTCTTAGGACAATAATATGTTGCATAGGTATCAACATGTAATATACACTCTCTATTAGATCATCCGAAGATGAATTCATAGATACTAAACATGGCATAGGTAAGGTTACATGAACGACTGGTTCTATCATAAGCATGCATAAAACAGTATACAATACAAAAGACCATATACAAGAAGATAGTAATCATACACAATGACCTGGGGATATGCATGCTAGGAAGGTCATAGACAAATTTGTCTATGAATTAATGAAAGTCGTTTCCTATAGCAGTACGTGTCTGTTTTAGAGAGAATTGAGTAGGGGGGAAGATTCTCTCTACATACGTTTAGGTCGTAAAGTTGATCTGATCTGGCTGAATTATCCTGGTTGCCATGGTAACCAGGGGCCTGGTGTCGTTCACTGTTTTTTTCAGTTTTAATTTTTCTGGACTCCTTTTTAATGGTTAAATACAATTTTATTAATAAAAAAACATGACTAATTAATTAGAATCATGAAACTTAAACAATTTAACATCAATTTATTAAAAGTTTAACAAAAATTACATGTTTAGTGCCCTATGAAATGTTTTATTTTTTTCAACCTTATGTTTTATTGTTACCAAATTCTGTGTTTTAACATGTCTAATTATTTGAAAGCATAAAACAAGTTTTACAATAATATAAAAACAATAATTTATTCTTACAATAGCCTTATGCTTTTTTGCTCAGAAATTCTGTATGATTTTTTTCCTCAGAAATTCTGTGTTGTGTATTTAAATTTTTTAAGGCATAAAAGAGTCATTTCATTTTAATGAAAATTAAACAAATTTTATTTTTGGAAAATAAAGGGGATTTAATATTATAATTAAAACATTGAAGACATATTGTATGATTATTCCTTAAAAATAAGGTTTTAATAATTTTAGTAGTAGTAGCCTATTACGTACATTCTACTGAACAATAGTAATATATTTCTGCTGCAATGTCTTCAAGTTAAACCGAACTTTTAGGGCGGGCCGCCCCCCTAATATAATGGCAGGGGAAACACTGGCTTCAGGGAAATGTGTCAGAGTAAAAGTATACATTTTAATTAGGAAATGTAGTCGAGTAAAAGTAAAAGTTGGCTGAAATATAAAAACTCAAGTAAAGTACAGATACTCAAAAGAGCATGGCTTCAACAACATGTTTGCAAGTATAGCATGTAACATGTAAAACGGGAACATGAAAAGAATATTCTTAAAGCAACTCATGTAAACACCTTAATCTTCTTATTTGGCATTATGTTTGTAACATTGGTTTCGATTTGAAAATTGAAAACCGACATTTGCAGTTGAGCTTTGAAGGAACCAAGCTAACCATTTAACAGTAACATAATGTTACATAGATAATGCTTTTTACTACTGTGAAGACAGCAGACATGGACATTAAGGTTAAAGAGGTTTATTGTGCTGTATAGCTGGATTAATTTCTTGGCCTGAGATCATTCAACATCACTTGCATAGTCTGCTGCAAATGAAACATACCATTCCTCCCAAGTGCTAACTGAGTTAATGGCATGTTTTTATTCCCTCTGTCTTAGGCGAGATCCCATTGGCTGACCCTGCCATTCCATTATCTTTTTCTTTGTTCGCTGTGAAATAGGTCCTGTGAGTCATTGCCCCATATTACCATCACTCTAATATCTTCGATCTCTGGTTTGATAGGGTTTACCCACATACATTTATGATTTAACTCATCCAGAAATCTTCACTCTTATCAAACAGAATACCATATTATCCCTCCTAATTTCTGTTGAATCGGTTCTCAGCTAAAATGTTATCACTCTTGAGATTATTTGATTTGAGAGCTGATTTAAATAAGTGCTGTTTTATCCACCCAATTATTAATTTGGATCTGAAGCTGTTTGCTTGTTGTGGGTGGATTTGAGTGTATTGTGTGAAGAATATGACTGTACAAAAGGCCCCTGAGTCAACATGTGATATTTGCCATGTAGTGTTTCCATTGTTCTACAAATCTTAGTCAGGACTGTTAGCTCATATTTGTTCTTCAACAGGTGTGTGCTATCATAAAACCCACAGTTTTACACTCTCCTACATAAAGAATGTATTTGTTTGTTTGTTTATTTATTTATTTATTGTGGTACTGTACCAGTATTGTTTTAGTAATATTATTGCTATTACATTATTTATAAATATTTTAAAATATTTTAAATTTTTAATTTATAGTATTTTTAATGTACATTTGTTTTCTTTTGTTTAATATGCAGTTAGGGCTGGGTATTGAGTTCGATACTTTTTAGGCACCGACCGAATTGCCTCGATACCATCGAGTATCGAAAAACGTCTTGGTATCGGTATCGATATCAAAAATTTTTGAACGATACCCAGCCCTATATGCAGTATGTATTTAGCTTTTTTCCAGTTTTAGTTATTGTAATTTTAGTACTTAAACATATTTCATTTGCCAAGACAATAATTCAAATTTTTGAATTTTCATTCATTCATTCCAGTTTCAATGAACAAAAGCAATATTTAGTAGTTAGCTAACAATATCAGCACTGAACTGTACTTGCATTTTTAACCCCAAAATGGGCAGGAATAACGTCTTAACACAAAAAAAACATTTAAGGGTAATGCAGTATCTGATATTAGATATTATCTCTGGAAATGCATTAACCAGTCAGCTGACATCCTTGACGTGTAGGCAAAGATTCAGCAACTGTCACCCTAATTGGTGCTGTGCAGCTGCTGCTGTTGTGGAGGCATCTGGGGGGCATTTTTTATTTATATTATACTGTCATGGGGGTGATAGGTATATAATGTATGGAGATGTTGTTTAGACATCGGATTGAGGACACACCAGTTTCCATGTTGGTGTTTCCTCCCAAGTTTTTGGCCTTTGTATAATTGGAGCTCCTACAACAGCGGTGATCTACTTTCCTGCAGAATTATTTCCAACACATCTGCTTGCAATTTTCAAATGAGCTGAAAGACCATTATTAACTGGTTCAGGTGTTTGTTAGAAGTGAAACTAAACTCTACAGGAAGCCAGATCTCCAGGAGCAGGATTGAGCTAAAACATTTACACTCCATATGAGACAGAAACTGAGCTTTGGCTTAGTCCCATCAGCTTACACAGGTTTTCCAAATCCAACTACAGCGATCTCCTGTGTGAAGCTCAAGGACTGCTGCTTTTAAAGGGATAGTTCACCCCAAAATGAAAATATTCTCATTATTTACTTCCCCTCATGTCATTTCAAACATCTTTCTTTCTTATGTGGAATATAAAAGAAGATATTTTGAGAAATGTCTCAGTGTTTTTTGACCAAGTGAATGGTAACCAAAATGGTTTGGTTAGAACATTCTTCAAAATACCTTCTTTTGTGTTGCACTGAAGCATTACTGAACATTAGCTAGTCATTATTTATACTGCTTAAACATTACTGACCCTGAAATATAATGAAATCGACTTGCTTATTACTTACTAACAGATGATTTAGGGTTATTTAATCATCATTTGATGAATTACTGCTTGATGAACTGTAATAATTTTTTTTATTAGAGTAGATGACTGATATTACAATTCTGTATTGTTTTATCAGAAGAAATTAAGATGAAATGTTAAAAACTAAATTCAGTCAATTTAGGCATCACATTACCTTTTGAAAAATGGTAGGGATGCACCGAATGTTCGGCAACCGAAATTATTCGGCCGAAAATAGCAAAAGAAACTCTTTCGGTGTTCGGCTGAATAAGCGAAAAGACAGAATAAATTTTACCGAACAATGATATGACGCGATCAAATAGCAACCAGCACAGAGTGAGAGGCGCGCACTCTTTATTATGCAGCACACACGTCAGCAGTGTGGAAGCATTTAAACTGTCGGAGAAAGACGCAAAAATCATTACAAGCTATTATAACATTCACACATAGTGTTCAAATTAGGATCTGTAATATTTTCTAATGTTTTAAAAGAAGTCTCTTCTCAGCAAGGCTGCTTTTAATTGTACAGTAAAAAATAAAAAAATAAATTCATGCCTGATTCAAGAAGGGGGTCTGATGGCCAAAATTTATTATTTTACTAACTTATTAATTTTAAGTTAAATTGTGCTTTGTTGGTATAGTGTCTGCTAGAATGTTAAAAATGTTCAGTGTTAAATATTTTTAAATTGTTGTTTTGTAATAGATTTTTTTTCTTTGAAAAGCAAGACAAAACAGTAAAAAGCACATTTTGGCTTTTTAATTTATGCAATGGTGAAAAAAAATGGGCAAAATACATGGGGAAAAAACTCGTGTTCGGTATTCGGTATTCGGCCTTCGGCCCAGTGTTTAATTTTGTTCGGTTTCGGTTTCGGCCAAGAATGTTCATTTTCGGTGCATCCCTAAAAAATGGATATTCTTTTTGATGTTAAATGTATTTAAATAGATTTACTAATATTTAATTAAATTAGTAGTGTTTTTAAAGTTAACTGAAATTAGTTTTATTTTAACGTAAATTTGTGATTGTTAAAGCTCATTCACATTAAGAACGATAACTATGAATCTATAACTGTAATGATTACTACAGAGCCGGCACCAGCGCAGCACTGATGAGGGGGGCGGCTGAGGTAACGAAAGGGGGCGATGACGTAGCACAAAGTAAAAAAAACAAAAAAAAAACAAACAAAAAAAAATTTTACATGTGGCCCATTCACGTTTTTGTCGGCCCGTAAACAAACCTGCCCGCTACTACTACAACTATTAGAATACTGGGTTTACACAGATAGTGTTTTGGTCGCGAGACAGGTCTGTGGAAGTTTTTTTTTTAAAGTGCAAGGTCTAGAGACGTGTTTTTAGAAGCTGAATTTCTTTGAACTTGAGCGCCGTTTTAGAATGATGTATTATGCGTGAGAAGCTGCTATAAAGACCTGAGACGAGAGCGCAGCATTCGAACACAAATTCAAAGACGTCATTTACAATGGAAAAGTACCGCAGTGAAATGAAAAATGCATTCTGAGTGAATGACCCTACGAAAATGTACTTAGCAAATACAGATGGCAGAGTATTGAAAAAAAACTAAATCGCATAGCCAACAAATTCGAAAATCTGACATCCAGGAAATAATGTCTTAGGCAGCAGTTTTACCACAGATACAGACAAGTGATACCACCACAGCCACCAGAAATACTGAATTGTGTCTGCTTTACAATGAAACACAAGCTTATTGCAACTGATTCCCTGACATAACACATTTAACAGATGCATCATTTTAAGTTAGAACAACTTGAACAGCAACAAACAATAACAATACAGCAAAATAATCAACTAACTATGATCATCTAGCCCTCTATTAGGGCTGTGCAAATAATCAAATGTGCATCTCGTCAGTAAAGCCGGTTCTGTGATTAGTAGTTAATCTCCATCACATGCTTTCAAATGGAGAGGCATTTACTACACAGAGCTGTAGTTCACTGACAAGCTATGCAATATCACATTCATTATCGCCGATGTATCACCTTCGATAATGAACACGATATTGCGTAGCTTGTCAGTGAACTAAGGCTAAATGCCGCTCCTTTTGAAAGCATATGATGGAGATTAACTACTAATCACAGAACCGGCTTTACTGACGAGATGCACATTCGATTATTTGCACAGCCCTACCCTCTATTAAACGTTAAAAAATTATTTCAACATACCTTTAGCTTACTCAGTAGTGATGCATTCTTAGGCGATGCCCCCTCACGCCCCCCGTGGCGCCGGTCCTGGATTACTATATTATATTAGTCCACAGAAACCGATGATAGCATTCTGTTTGTTGTTGTATTCTGTTTATGTCTCTTTATAAACCTATTTCTGTCAGTATTTTATCCATCATCTAGAAAATAAACATTCTAAAAAAAACATAATTCCTCTGTATCAGTATTGTTTTACAGTACATGTGGAGTGGACTTTCCTATTCTCACAGAATTAGAACGATTATTAAAACTTTATAGTTATAGTTATCTAATTACAGCTATCGTCCTTGGTGTGAACAGCTTTTTAGATGACAGCAAAGGTAGTTTAAAAGTAAAAATAAGCACTCAAAAGTGGCTCAACTGTTTTGTAAGGGCATATTTTCTGGGAAAAACTCAATATAGGCCTTTGGATTGTGACGGTGCTCTACGCTCAAGCTATTTGCCTAAGTGCCTTGAACAAGTGTCAAGTGAAAAGGAAAAAAAAAATCTCTCTATTCCCTGTATTGAAGAGTTTGTGCAGTGGGGGTGTATGGGACTTGCATAGTGCCAGGTGAGGAGTGGTGGCCACTTTGTTTAATTGCTCTTATTTATTTGTTTAACTCCAGGGCTGTGCTTCCTCTTAATATATGGGTGGCTCCTCAGCCAGCTTTTATGAAAGAGCAGGCCTCTGACCAATCCCATTAAATCAGACTCTGTCATCCTCCTCCTCTTGCACTGAGTCCGATCCAAAACCGGCAGCATTTGGTGCAGAGCATGTAAGCGATGAACTCTGCTTTGATATAATTTTTGTATCCATTCCATATAAAATAAAATATGTACCTTACGGAATTCTTTCGCACATTCACAGAATTTATTCTGAAAGCTCTAATTTGATGTTCTGTCTGAGATGCTGATCATCAATAATTGCTACTTGCCAGATTCAA